CACGAAAATTTAGTCCGTGGTAGCGCGGGCACCCATGAATCCCGCCTGGTATTGCCCCACGAACTCTCTTGCAAATGGTGACAAGCGGTGGCATAGCATTTGGGAGAGTACCTTGTAGGTGGCGCTCAGCAGTGTGATCGCGCGGATGTTGCAGCAATCCAACTTGTCGCCCTTTTTGTAGATTGGGCATACGACACCTTCCATCCACTCCTCCGGTAATATCTCCTCCTCCCAAATCTTGACAATTACCCAGTACAGCGCTCTAGCCAGTGCTTCCCTACCGTATTTTAACTGCTCATTTGGTAGTTGATCTACACCAGTTGGTTTGTTGTTCTTCAGCCGACCGATCTCCTTCTCAATTTCTTGAAGATCAGATACCAGTAGACAGTCGTCTTCTGCGCTTGCTCTGTTGTCGTGCCACCTTCGTTTTCTGCTGCATCACCGTTGAGGTTCTCGTCATAGTACTGCTTCCACCTCTCAATGACCTCACACTCGTTCGTGAGAAGGTTACCGTCTAAGTCCTTGCACATATCGGCTTGCGGCACGTAGCCTTTGCGCGAACTATTTAGCATTTCGAAGAACTTCTGTGTGTAGTTTACGCGGTACAGATTTTCCATCGCTTCGCGATCTTGGTCTTCCTGCTGACGCTTCTTCCTTCGGAAAACCGAGTTTTGTCTGTTCCGCGCTTGTCTGTATCGCTCCACACTCAATCTCGTGCGGTGTTGCAGCATTCTCGCCCACACTGCATTCTTCTCGTCTCGAGAGTTTTGAGCGCAAGCATACTGGAAATAAGCAGTGGTCCGAATCTACGTTCGCACTGCGGTACGTGCGGACGTTGATGATGTCGGAGAAGAATTTCCCGTCGGCTAGAACGTGATCGATTTGGTTTTCTGTGTGTGATCTCCAGGTGGCTTTGTGGATATCCTTGCGGGAGAAAAAGGTACTTCGAACTACCATACCCCGAGAGGCTGCAAATTTTACGCATCGTTGGCCGTTGTCGTTCGATAAGGCATGCAGACTGTTAGGCCCGATTGCCGGTCTGTACATTGCCTCCGGTCCTACCTGAGTGTTCATCCTTCATTCTCATCGTTTAGTTGAAGAAACGGCCCTTAATCCTTAACTTGCATATCCTTGCGTTGATCGGCTGCCAACCAATCACACGATGGCGCATCTTATCCAGCACTACAAAGCCGGTTCCCAGCTCGTTGGTGTTGCCACAGCTCTGGTAGAAAGTAGCCGCTCGATGCCCGCTTTTCCATACCTTTTGTCCCGTCCAGCAAAGTTCCTGCAGTGCTACGACTTCGAAGTTGCGTGGTTGAAGTTTGTCATAGATTAACCTATCGCAGCCCGGGAAGCGAAGAGATTTGCAGTTCCATGTTCCGAGTTTCCAATCGTAGTTCTTATTTCGTCACGTAGGTCTGTGCCGATCGTTCCGATCCGTATTTCTTTCTGGCACTAGGACGGTTATCATCCGCTCCTAACATGGAGAATAGACGCCGTTTTGAGTCGCAACTCCATGGTGAACAGACGCTCGGGTTGCAAATCAATGTCTTTCTAATGGGAATAACAAGTTCAAGTCCTTATAGTTGCATTACGCTACCTGCCTCAGACATGCCAAATTTGAAGACACGTCTTAATTTTGAAGACATTTGGAATTCTGTGAAGATAATTTTCTCCTGCAACTTTATTCAAGTTACATATGTTGCTAAGCTGAACTTCTTCAAACATGTTTTACGAATATTCCTGAACATCTGGGTAGGTCCCTGAAACTAAACGAAATTTTCCTGAAATTCCAGGTAGTTCAAAATGCTTAACATTCTTCGGGGAAGTTAAGAAAAAGTAAAATCTCTGAAAACTGATAAGAAGTTCTATGTATGAAGTCCTAAAAAGTTTACTGAACTATTTGAAAAATTCCTAAGCTTCTATGAAGTTTACTGCACTGACGAACTACAACGAAGTTAGATGACCTTTTGCGAAACTCCATGCAATTTTTCGATGTTTTATGAAGTTTTTCGAACTCTTACTAAGTGCGCTGCACCACTACAAAGTTCAATGTACTTCTAAAATTTGTGTATGATTTTCTTTATTAAAGTTTCATGAAGTTTACTTAGCTTGGATTGCCCTGAAGTAGTACAAAGACATTTAAACGCAGCGAAATGACCTGAACTTAAAAAAGATGTCTGATCATTTGTGAGGTTTCGCGAAATAAAATGATGTTCCATGAAGCTTCCTTGACTTGCACAAAGATTTCACTTTTTCGCAGAATAGTTTTCAATATTCTTTCGAGACTTTCAACCGTTGACATTTTTTAAGTTCCCCGAATTTCTACTGAAGTTCTTTGAAGCTCTACGAAGTTTTCAAAATACCTATCAAGTTTTCTGAATTTGTATTATGTTTTCTAAACTCCTACGAAATTTCTTGAAGTTAAATAAAAATCCCTGATCTCCAACGAAGTTCCTTGTATTTTTTGCAAACTTCACTAAAGTCCTTTAAAGTTTGCTATTTTACAGTCTGATGAAGCTTTACATAGATCATTGAGCTTTTAAAAAATCACTGGTCTTCTATACAGTTCTCAGGACTCCTACGGAGTTCACTGAATGTAGCTGAACTTCTATAAAATTCACTGAACTTTTACAAAGTTTTCTAAAATTCTATAAAGTTCAATAAACATCTACAAAGTTTGCAGAACTTCTTCAGAATTTACTGCACTTCAAGGAAGTTTCCTGATCTTAAACGAAATTTTCTGAATTTCCTCGAATTTGCTTGAAGTTCCGCAATGATCTATGAAGTTCTTCGAAGAGAGTGACTACAGCGTAGTGGTTGGCAGCCATACCTCTCACGTCAAAGTCACGAGTTCAAACCTTACTCCCGGACAAGTCGTGAATGTCCCAAGATCGTTAAAGCGACCATAATAAAAAAAGTTCTTCGAAGTTCAAAAATTTGGCCTGAACTTTCACGATGTTCCTCGAACTTCACTAACAGAAACAGAGCTCTTCTGTCATCTTCAACGTGATCTTTTGCAGCAAAATTGGCACTTGAAACGTTTTTGTCGGTAGGTTCCCAATTTAAACAACTTTTTCACCTTGGTAATCAGCTAGGTCCAGTTCATTGCTCATGCTAGATTTTGACGTTTTAATTTCTTCAATGTATACAATATTTGACACAATTTCCTAAATAGTAAGCTAGATCTACGATCTACCCATTAGTGTGATTAAAAAATAAATTTACTATATTTTTTGGCCACTGATTTATTGAGTAGATTTTGAAGAGGGAGACAAAAACTTCAAATTTAACTTTTCAATGAGCTTAACAAAGTCAAGATACAAGATCAAAACTTCGGAGTCAGTATATTTTTGTTGTTTGAGTTTTTGGGTTTCGGACTTTTAAAGTTTTCTGAGATTCTAGGGATATTAATTTGGTTTTAATTGTATGAACCTTAATCGATTTGTTGTTGGTACTTAAAAAAATGTAGGAAGCTCAGAATGGCAGCCAGCAAATTAGCTGCACCAAATGATAACTCTCTCAATGCATGTCGCAATAATAAGCTGTTTGATTTAAATCCACTGTATTCGAATAAAACGCTACCCATAAAATTTCCGAGTAATGATCATGATTTAAATATAAATCGAATTTCTTTCATGCTCTCCATAATGGATTTGCCTAGTCCAAGAAAAATTCATATTTTCCTGTCAGCTCCTAGCACCATATATCTCACCGATGAAACTGCATGCATTATAAATCTCCTCTCGAGGTGGTTATAAAAAAGTTTCATTCCATTTTCTCGCTCGTTTTTATGTAAAACAAACACATAGCAATCCATATGTACCGTCGCTTCACAGCGGTTCAATCACACACGCGTGAGAAGGACAGAGCAAAATACACCATTTTTCTACCGGGGCTCGGGTGGAAACTGCTGCTTCATTATCATCTATTTAGCATAAAAATGCGCATACAATATCGCGCATTAAGCCCGAGCGCACCTCTGATTGGAGAATAATAATATGAATATGATTTCTCCCACCCTTTCAGTCGCTTCGATTCGCTCGTTTTCTACACATCTCTCGCTCTGTTTTGTGTGTTGTGTATTGTATACGCCGCGCGCGTCTAGCGGACTGGTTTTACACTTTTGCGTCTCTCGCCACGCTATTACCATATCTCGTTCGCTCCTCTTCGGCACTTTACAATACATTTAAAAAAATCTCGGCTCCCCCTTTGTCTACAATGCAGCGACCGAACGGACCCAACCAATACACCCCAGAATCACGAGACGTCAGGAAAAACTTGACGAAAAAACCCCTCACCTCACACACAGTTTAAAATCTAAAAACCCTCAAGCACTTTTTTATCAGGGGGAGCGAACCAATACAGAGCAACCGTTTGGTAACCGCATCGTGGGTAGTTGTGGCAGCAGGCCATGGGAGCACACGATAAAGCTCGCTCTCGATTTTCCATGGGTAACCATGGGAGTTGGGAGCTCGATGCTCGCCGCTGATGAAGGGTTTGTAAAGAAAAACGGAAAACTTGACGAAACTCCATCGCAGTGCGTGTATGGATGGAGAGGTACATGTTGACAAGATAACTGCGATGATGCGAGCATGTGCTTGAGAGTAGGTAGTAGGTGCTCTCTCTTGCTCGCGAAATGCTCCACACATTTCTGTCGAGGCTGCCTGTAAAAGTGTATCGGTGCCCGCGCGTGAGAGATGGTTGCTTCCGAGTGTGGTTTCTTCTGAGACTCCAAATCAGCGGGAAAGGAAGCACACAGCAAAATCGCGGGTGGCCACCGATCGTATTGTTTTGCTGGAGCGTCCCCTCCCAACCCCCGTTCCGCCCGGAGGTTTGCACACTTGATTTTCTTGCCTCTGTCTGTGCATATCGAAAGCGATTCCAATACGAAAGGCACATTTTCTTAGTCCCATTTGACGTTTCGATGTAAACGCATGTGCTTTTTTATCGTCAATTCTGTTGTTTTTTTTTTCGTTGTTTGTTATTGCGCTCGGTCGTTTGCTCGCTCGCTCGCTCGCTGGTCGTCTTTGATGCTGAGGCTTCTCTCCGCTGCTGCGTTGTTTGACGACGACGACGACAACGACGTTTGTGACGACTACTGCGATAGATATCATCACCGTTTGGTTTTTTTTTTAGTCGGGTGCCCGGTGGGGACTTACAACACGTGGATGATGCGGTGCGGGAGGCTCCATATGACGGAGGGAGAAAACAAGCCTCTCCCCTCTAGATAAAATGAGAGAGAAAGAGCTAGAACAGCGCCCTTCGTCTCCTCGCAATGGTTTTAAGATATCTGCCACCGGTACCACTCCCTGAGAAGCTCCATCGTTCCACTGAGGAAGATACCTTTTTTGGGGGTACCGAACGAAGTGGAGAAACGGCAAGTGCAAAAAAAAAAAACTGCTCGTCTCTCCGCTCCGGCAAGCAATTCCGGCTGCTATCTATTTGATTTTTATAACTTTATTAATTAGTGTTGTTCGAGTCGAACGATGATAGATTGACAAAACAGCCCGAGCTCCCCAAGAAGCGTCGTTGTCCGCGTGCCAGTGAGCAGTCTAGAGTCTCTCCGTGGGCAGTGGCAGTGGTAGTGACTGACTGTCGATTCGATTGTTGTTGCCGGTATCCGGTTCGACTGTGCGCTTCGGTAGCTGTCTCCCAGTAGTGTTCGCAGGTCGTGGCCGCGTGCGGAAGTATTGTTCGGTTCTTTGTACGAATCCACCCCGAGGTACGGTGCTGTGGGCAACCCTTCCCTCTGACGTTTCGTTTTGGGTGCCCTTTTCGGTGCGTGTTAATGAGTACGAATCGCCCACCCCCACCTCTTCTGTGCCACCACCATCACCAGACGAGGCCATCGAGCCAGAATCAATCCAGTCGATCCGGTCGGGGTGATAGGAGTGACGACAACGGCGACGATAGCCACCACCGTCTGGCACGGGGTGATATTTTTTGGAGTGACCAACAATCAATTAGTCAGCTCGGGGAAGTGTTTATTTATGTGCTAATGATTGCAGTTTATCCGGCACACGGGTGATAGAGAAAAAGAGATTTGATTTGGTTGACAAGGTGATTGCAATTTGAATAATAATAATCAAACCAGTGCAATAGTGCGTTCGGGAAGAAGAAAAACTTGAAACGGATTGAAGAAAAGCAAGCCGTGAGTGTGTTTTGCAGTGAATTGTGAGAAAGAGAAAGCGGAAATTGCAAATGCAACTGAAGATAGCAAGTTCCCGACGGCATGTGGCAGCGCTTACTGTGATGAGCGTTGAGTATGGGATTCATCGAATGAAGTGCGCTGAATGTGGACTGTGATTTACTGTTTCTTGAAGAATATTGCCTTTTGAGAACAGAGCAGTGATGGTTGGTGAGTACGACTAGGTTTTTGCATAGATTCTGAACAATATTTACAGCAAATGAAAAGGGGTTTAGTAGGGATTTTGTTCTGAGTTCATAATCATTCATATCGAATATTGTGTATGAGAAGCTTGTTTATCATTGTGAAAATAATCCAACGCTAATGTGGCCATAAAGTAATTAAACTCAAGTCAATATTAAATTTAAAACATGGTCTCCAAAAACGTTTTATATTGCGTTTTCCACTAACGATAATTTTTGATTTTTTGATGTGTTTCAGCACGCGTTTTTAATCTACTGGGAAAGATGAAATTTGGTCGTACATCCGAAGTTTATTCCTTTAAAATTTTCGTTGTGTTCCTTGTGGCCTCATAATACTGTGAAAACCTGTATGATGGAAAAGATATTTATAGTCAAAAGTAACGGAACTTTTAAGATAGTTTGATTTTTCCACTATTCAATTCATTCTCAAATTCCAATAGTTGATACGGTAATACGATCAATGGAAAAAATAAAAACTGAAACTTCAGTGATAAAAAATAAGAGTTTACTGACTACAACTATTATGGGATTGGGAAATGTCCACCATATCTCGAGCTAGGTTTCAGCTGACATAAAAATAGTGCACTGCAAATGTAATCGATAACGGAAAAAGTAGGCTGCGCTGCGAAAATAACGTGTTTTTGTTTTTCTGCGTCGTTTTCGTTCTTGTGAAAATGTTAAAATTGTGCAATTTCGTTTTTAATAAGTTTTAATTAAAAGTACTGAAGAAGTGTTGAAAAGTGCATTAAGTGATAATCATCAAATACCTCTCTTTTCGTAGCATCAGGTGTCATTTGTTCCAACTAACGCGTTACAATGCTCTGCTAAGCTCATTTGCCGTTTCGGTCCTTTATAGGTTTTATCCATCTAAATTAAGACAATTATTTCAAAACTCACTAAATACGCGGCAATCAAGTATTGCATTACTGCTTAATTGAAAGTTTCAGTAAATTATCGATAGTGATATCAGTCCCATCTGGGAAAATAGCAAGCAGAGAAAATCGCTATTGAAAATTTGTTTATCCTTAGGCTCTTATGGATGAGACAACCAAGTTTTGTTATTTTTCACCATATTTTCTGAACAAAACATGTGGCTTTTAGTGCACAGTGTAAAATTCAGGCAGTTTAAAATCGATTCTAATGGATAATTCATATCTGATAAAAATCCATGCTTTTATGGGCAGTATATTAGCATCGATAATAAATTGGAGCGGGGCTTATCGTGTGTTCTTGAAATGGGCTATTGGAGCTACGGCAGTATGTACTACTCTTTGCCATTGGCTGACAGCAAGCGCTGCCAAACAGTATTATGCGATATACGTGACTCTTCGATTGTTTGTTTACGTTCACACATTAGTGAATGATTAGAGAGAAGCAACATGAACCAATTTTGATGTGTTTGAACAAATGTGACTTACTTAATCACTACATCCCACTGTTAATGGAAAGATTGGAGACAGGCTTGAATATTTTTAATATTGATGGACTGCAATATACTTACATTCGTTTCATCACACTGGGAGAGTAAACAATTTGTTTCGATTTGAGAGCTCAAAATTGGTTTGATTTTCTGGTCCGCCTTCGCATCACCCAGCGGAACGGTTGTCAGCTCTTAACTCCAGAGTTCATGCTTCTTGCATTATTTCGGTAACGAAGTAAGTTAGAATCGAAATCTAATTTAAATTACTTTAAAAGCTTACCTGACAATAGTCGTAAAGGCCCAAATTGATTCTGCAATAGCATATAACTGGATCAATGCAAGTTGCAAACAAGGTTGCAAATACTCATTTCAGATTAAAAAATGATTTTAGGAAGTATGAAATCACTAGCAGCACACTTGTCACTTAAAAGTTGGTGTTACTTGTATGCACCTTATTTCAGTCACAATCAAGTTGCAGCAACCTATTTTGATGGATGTGTGTTGCCTGGGATATGATGATATCTTAATTTGTAAGATATAAGAAGAGGTTGCAAATGTGTTTGACCTGTCAGCTTTAAAAAGGAAGTACTGCCATTACATTTGTTATAAGAAACATATACTGAACTCCACACTTACATTTGATGATCATGGCATTTATTTTGCATGTATGAATGGAAATGTCAACATTTCAAAATATTTAAACAATGGAAATCACTGTGTTGAATACATTGAATCAATATTGATCAACGTGATCATGGAATGACACAAAAACAAGTGATTAAACATTTGAATCCAACGTGTTGATTTTTTGGCGTTCCCTTCCACTCTTCATTGTGGTATTCGACGTTTTGGAACAGAATTCTGATTCAATGGGAAATTTAACAGGTTGCTTCGATATTCTACCAACATGAATGGTTCAAAATTTGCCTCAGAAATACCAATGTTGCCTGTTGAGCAGTTGATTGAGCATGATCCTAAAATTTTAGCGTTTTAAAACATTAAATTGAAAAGTGGAGTTAAGCAAAGTTGTAGCTGAGAAAATTTCATACAAGCACAACTATCAACAATTCTGTAGATAAATACGGTTAATTGAATAAATAGTTTGCTTTTCTCATAGTAATTCCCATATAAACTTCAAATGGTTTGTGCAGAGTTAGTTTATAGCTAAACGAGTTCAAATTTTTGGAAGATGATAAGGACTCGATTTGAAACGAGACATTCTTATTATATGTAAATTATTTATTATTAGCATTGCAGAGTATCAGCTATTTTATCGAGGGGTGCGACACATCTAAATCCCGATTTTAAATGGTCGAAAAATCTCACACTAGCAAATCAATCTACGAAAAATCTTTTTTCATCTCTTACATCTAAACCTATCTACTCGCATCGCTCTCCACCTTTTTGCAGGAAATCTTCAAAATCATAATCAATCGTGTTTCTATCTATTAAGCGCGAGTGCATCTCACAACAGCAAAGCACAAAATTTCCTGCATCTTAGAAAGAGTCACTCCCCTCGTATTTTATCCACATAACTGTATTTTCATTATTTCATATTGTAATGTTCGGACATATTTCATTGCTCCATTACATATATTTACTTCATATAAATAAATACCCCAACCCAGATGGAGCATCAGGGTATTATTTGACCAGAAACTGGACGATGGAGTCGTATGACAACCGGAGTCTAGGAGGGAATTATCATTTTCTTTATCCTACCGATTCGATTGTGGTGGTGTGAATTCTACTCCAACAGTTTCAGTGAGCTTGACGCGCCCTTCTTAACAAACCATCCTGTAGGAAGGTATTGCGAATTGAGTTATTCGACGGTGGATTCGGTGGTGGATTCGATGGTGGATCGTACCGTTGGAAGAAGATTCTTAAATTCCCGTGGATTTCACATGATTGTCTCTGTTTACGGGTCCACCCCTCCGTTTTTGGCCCTTCATACAGTGATATTGTGAATTCAGATCGGTAGCTCAAATTGATCTTGTTATTAAGTGGAGCTGCATACAAGACAAGATCTTTGAAGGGATGGTGGCTACCTTATATACATACACGATCAGGACCCGATTTGAAACTATTTGAGCACTGCATCACACTAATGGACAGCCCTTAATCACAATTAAATTTGTTTCGCCTACGCACATGGGCTCATATTGTAGCCTGAGATTTATCATTTCTACGATTTTTTAACCCTCTGCTGCCCAAGCCCGTCTTTTGTTGGGTTAAGTTTAAAAAATGTTGTGCTAATCGTAGAAATGATACACTATTTATCTACCGTTTGTATTCGGTTGCCAACTCATTACGTTAACTAATGTTGAAAAATAATTTTCAATATACAGGTTGGACTAGATTATCCAGAGGGTCGATTATACCAGGGTTCGATTATCTTGTATTTTTGTGTAGCTTTGGATGTAAAAACAAGAAGGGTAAATGCAACAACCATTGATGCATTGTAACCATTTTGCATTTTGAGCCAATTTGTGCTTGGTGGAGTTCAACAAAGTGAAATAGTAATGCCATACCATCCTGAGCTGTGAGGGACCATTCCACCTCATCGCATAGTTAAAAATTTATTTTGAATTGTTGCACAGTTGAACATTTTCAGAACTTGATTAACCACACACCTAGAAAACAATGATCTCTGCCCAAGTAACAATTTGGGTTTCATGAGGGTTCTGTAGATCATGGTTTAGACTTGTAGAATGCTTTAAAACCTCGTTTAAATTAGCAATGTTACTTGGGTGATCACCTGATGGTCTTTGGAATATTTTCAGAGCCAACTTGCATCATGGGAGAATATCCGAGCGATGTAATTTGAATTGATGAACAGTTTGAGATGTTCAGTACAATAGTACCTGATAAACCTGAAGTCTTGAAAAAATATCCTGAAAACTTTATGGAGATCTTAAAACCCATTGGAATAATTTCTAAGCTGCCGTGTTTCATATGAGAAAAAATCTGAGAAATGCGATATAGATTTTGGATCAGTCTGAAATCTTGAAAAAATATTCTGAGGTTTTTAAGGTGATCTCTTATCAATGGGTGTTATTTTAAATAATCTAGGAGCAACATGTAGTAAATTTGTGAAATGATGCTGCTAAAATATATAAATTACGAGGTATTTCGACTATAGTAGGCAGTGCTAATCAACTTATAAAAGTGTCTGGATTTAGAGCCTTCACGGTAATTGTTTAATTTTGGCAAATATCGGTAGAGGAATATATGTATTTCTTAGAATCTAGTTCAAGATTAAGACCACCATCTTCCCTCACTGACACACGTGCTCACATTTTCCTTATCAGCTGATCCATAAACTTACACGCTAATCAATCGATCCCATCGTCACGCACGGTTTGCGTCCTCATCCTCATCCGTCCACACATCTTTCGCCACACAATGATGCTTGCGCTGTTCCAACAACAGTGTTCCATTACGCCACACTTTCGCCTCTACACCTCGTCAACTTTCGTCAGGATGTTTGGCTACGTCAGTCGGAAATGCGTATACCTACCAACGAAACCACCGAAATCATCGCGTCA